TCATCCAACCCACCCCTACTGTTCACCTTGTTCTTCAGGTTCTCCACCATCCAACCACCATTAACCCCTTTGTCTTCTTCAGTAAGACTACTTACAAACCATCATAAACCTTTTTGTTTGAAGCAAATCCCCGGAAAATTAAGGTAAGAACCAATTCATAAGCAAATTATCCCTAAATCCGAATAAAATTAGAAAAGCAAATTGGAAAATCAGAAAATTAACCACCATATTTGAACCAAACCTTAAGAAAACCAAACCAAAAACACAGTCGCGATAATACAGGGGGGGTGGGCAAGTGTTCTTCGGAATGACTGGGTGTAAAGGGCACGACTGAACAGACTCAAATGCATAAGTATACTTTAGGAGTGACTCTTGGGGATATTGATGGATCGGTCCACTATGAACCGAACCGAACCACTGGTTTGAACCTATTCGAGATTTTAGACATTGAAACTGGTTTAATAACCGTGAACCGGTTTAGAACCGGTAGTCAAACCGATCAAACCGGTTTGAAACCGATTGAACCGGTTTAGAACCACTATAACCGGTTTAGATAGGTTCGAGTTTAATAATGACGGAACCAGTTTAAACCAAACCGATTTAAGGATGAACCGGTTTTAATATTCATAAATCGGAACCGAACCAATTTTTTGAACCAGTTCGATTTGAAAAAAAAAAAGTTTGCTCGCCCCTACTTGGGTCTTATACTCTTATCCAAGCTTTGGCCCAATCAATCTCATTGACCTAACAAAAATCAAAATGCAATAGTACCTGTGAACATCACGGCGGCGTTCCAATTCCTGTAACCGACTCCATGAGGACCGCGACCATCTTCTCCTTCAACAGTGCCGATATGCCATCATCTCTTTGTCTTGCTCTAGCCCTTGCTAGAAGCACCCAATGACAATCATCAGAGACCCATAGTTTCACCCAAACACGCATCGATAAAACCAAATCATAAGCACACCCATTTCTCTTTTGTTGGAACTAAAGACTATTATCACCATTTCGGTGTCGTCAATCATCATCAACCTTTCTACCAAGATTTCCTTCCTGGTTACCAAGAATCATTGCTATACTCGTTGAACCTACTCCATCTCCATCCAGATCTGCTAGAGTTTCTTCACCGGAGACATATCACGATAGTCATAGCTACGACCTGATGCTTCTTCACAGGGAAGCACATAGTCCACTGACATCATCACTACCCTTCATCTTCTATGCCCGAGAATGAATGAATTGTGATATAGAGCCGAATAAGTCACAACTCTATTCCCAAATTGAAATCCATAAAGGAATTTAAGGGAGAGGAAATAGGGGGCCCTAAAATTCCTCGGGACGACTGCACGTTACATCATAGCAACACGACCAAATGGAGGCAGAAAGCCGGTTGGGCGCTAGCGCTTTATATTATACTAATATAATATGAATTCAATTAAGTTAAGGGATTTTCCCTTATTAGTAAAGTTGCTCGAGGCCGGAAATGAGAATACAATCTAGAAGATCTGGTCAAATGGTAGAAGAATCTATGGATTCGTTAGGAATCGATAGTCGTTGGCTGGACATACGAGTCACAACCGGCCGGGAAGAGGAGGGATCAACGACGGAGCTACTAGCTACTAGTTGTAAAGGAAAGGACAAGACCACCTTTCGTACATTTCAACTGGTCCAGACATTTGAATAGCGAATGAAAGACTAGGAGATTGGATCTAGAAAGCACTTCCAGCAGGCTTGACGGCTGTGTGGTCCTCATTCAGCTAGAAGTAGAAAAGAAATCCCGGCACGACCGATGACTTAGTCTCCTTCTGCGCTTCGACTCAACCACCTGCCTAACCTCTTAGAAAAGATCCGATAGATAGCAGCTACCTAACTTTTAAGCCCTTCACCAATCAAGGTCTTTCATCTAGTAAGTCCTAATACTATGTTCTCCAAGCTTGACTAATAGAGTAGGCAGGCCCTTTAGAGAGCAGTAGAATGTTGGGTTAGCTCTGCCTTTAAGTGATAGGGGGTGAGGGGAACTGCTCAGAAATGTATTAGTTGGTTGAGGAGTGACCGATCCGGTCAGTCAAAAAATAGTAAAAAAAAAAGAAAGTCTGTCTGGTCTGGTGTAGCTAATGTGACTTTCTCGATCTATAGTTCTTCTTTTTTCTCTCTCTTGACCAATGCTCTGGCTTCCCTCACTCAAAAAATCAGCCGTTGTGACACAGGTGTCTCGAGGTAGGCCGTGGATTGAATAGAGAGATAAGGGCTAGAAGAGCATCCATAGGAAGAAGAGGACGGAAGAGTAGTGCATCCGTGTCTACTCACTCCGGTGGGATTCCAAGATGAAAATGGATCAATCCAATTACAACTGTCAGCTAGATAGACGAAACGAGGGCATATCCAGACGTTTCAGTGGTTTCCATTTTGATGGTGATATTAACATCCTTTACCATCTTAGTAGAATCTTAACTCAACTCGGGAAAGGAAGAATCCACTTCCTGAGAAAGAAGGAAGTGCTTACGCCTTAGGAATCTTGCGCTAAGGCTTGAACTTGCTACATTCTAGTTTCCAGGAGCGCACTGGAGTTTGATCTTTCAGTCGTTCATTCTACAAGGCATAATCTTTCGTGACAAGCGGAAGACGGAGGAGCAGGCAAGAAGAGCAAGTATAGTGAAAGTATCCTCGTGGGCCAAACAAAAAGAGGTTGAGCCCCAACATCAAATTAATGCATTGATTCAAGGGGTACCCGTGCAAACATCATCTATCTCTCTGGTCAAGTGGCTCCGCTCTTAGGGAGAGAATCTACGAATTCTGTGAAAGGGCTTCCCTATCTATGATTGAGCTCTCGCTCTTACTCTTTCTATCAGTCGTGTTTTTTCTTTTCTCTCTTACTGTCAACTTGCTTGATTTACTAACCTCGTGTTCTCATCCACTTTAAGGTCAGGTCGAAGCAAAGCGTTTTCTTTCCTCTTCCTATCGGAAAACAAGAACCCGCCAGCTAACTTCTCTCTAGTGGACTTCACTTGTACGCTATCCTTCCTGACCTTACCTCGACTCTACTCTCCAAGCTCACTGCTCGACGCTCGCCTGACATATCGGTCTGAAGTTTCTTTGATCACTTAGGACAGACAATCTTTCTAAAAAAGAAAAATCTCGTAATATAGTTCAAGAAAGTGGCTGTGACGTGAATTGCATTGTGCTCATCAACGTGTAAGCTGCACCATGCTGAACGAGAGAATGACATTCCCTTTCAATTGAGATATTGCGTATGATAAGAGAGATAAAGGTTCCTTTTTTCCGGTATGCTGCTCCGCGAGCAAGGAGCGATAGAAGCTAGTATTCTGTAATGAATAACAAGAGTCTGGCACTATAGGGGAATCCAACACCTAGTGATTTACATTTTACACCTTATCTTCTAGACTTTCGGTGGAAAAACCAGTCGAGTCTTCCAGCAGGAGTTCCACGCCTTTTTAACCTGCATAAAAAAAGGAAGTCTTGCGCTGGGCATGATCCCGGTCTCGAGCAGAGCAAAGCGAATTAAAAAATTTGAATGAGAAATCATTTTCAAATGAGACTCTATGGTAGTCCTACGCCAAGTGATCTAGAATTTATGGTAGATGAGGGTTTTTCTTTATCTTCAGGTGGTACCTCTACTACTCTTTCTTCAACTAGGTCGGACGCACAAAGCGCTCCACCTGAGTTAGAGCGGTTATTTGAGAGAATCTGCAATGAATACGCGGAGTGGGTGGTGATAGCCGATAAGCAATTACCCCCTGAATGGGACATGCCTAACCTTGTTCGGGCAGTGATAGGGGAGGAAGCGCTAGCCACCCCAAGCTATATGAGCGATGCCTATTATGATGTAATGTTACATGGACAAAATAGTTGGTTATGCCAATCAATTTTGAAGTTTCTTGATCTAATCAACTATGTCTTCTAGTCTGTTTGGAAGGAGAACTCATTTTCATTTCATCTTGTGACTCATTCTCTTCGATCTTCTCTTTGATTGCTTTTGAAAACGTCTTTTTAACTGAACTACAATGGTCTGATTCTTTTGAAGAAGATATGTAGGCAATTCAGCGTATACCCGGATGCGACCCCATCCACTCCCTCCATCCATGGATAAGGATAAAACAACATCTTTCACTGTTTCGTTGGAAAAACCAACGCTCATATTGACTTTCTTTCGCCCTACTCTAAGGGTACTTTAAAGATTTTGATATATTTTTTTTATATTATATAAAGGCCCCAGAACGCTAAAAGGTGAGGGAACCAGAGTTCTCTTTCTAAAAAAGAAAAAGAAATGACTATAAGGAACCAACGATTATCGATTCTTAAACAACCTATATTCTCCACACTTAATCAGCATTTGATAGATTATCCAACCCCGAGCAATCTTAGTTATTGGTGGGGGTTCGGTCCGTTAGCTCGTATTTGTTTAGCAATTCAGATAGTGACTTGCGTTTTTTTAGCTATGCATTACACACCTCATGTGGATCTATGCCTGACCTTGTTCGGGAAGTGATAGGGGAGGAAGCGCTAGCCACCCCAAGCTATATGAGCGATGCCTATTATGATGTAATGTCACATGGACAAAATAGTTGGTTATGCCAATCAATTTTGAAGTTTCTTGATCTAATCAACTATGTCTTCTAGTCTGTTTGGAAGGAGAACTCATTTTCATTTCATCTTGTGACTCATTCTCTTCGATCTTCTCTTTGATTGCTTTTGAAAACGTCTTTTTAACTGAACTACAATGGTCTGATTCTTTTGAAGAAGATATGTAGGCAATTCGGCGTATACCCGGATGCGACCCCATCCACTCCCTCCATCCATGGATAAGGATAAAACAGCATCTTTCACTGTTTCGTTGGAAAAACCAACGCTCATATTGACTTTCTTTCGCCCTACTCTAAGGGTACTTTAAAGATTTTGATATCTTTTTTTATATTATATAAAGGCCCCAGAACGCTAAAAGGTGAGGGAACCAGAGTTCTCTTTCTAAAAAAGAAAAAGAAATGACTATAAGGAACCAACGATTATCGATTCTTAAACAACCTATATTCTCCACACTTAATCAGCATTTGATAGATTATCCAACCCCGAGCAATCTTAGTTATTGGTGGGGGTTCGGTCCGTTAGCTGGTATTTGTTTAGTCATTCAGATAGTGACTGGCGTTTTTTTAGCTATGCATTACACACCTCATGTGGATCTAGCTTTCAACAGCGTAGAACACATTATGAGAGATGTTGAAGGGGGCTGGTTGCTCCGTTATATGCATGCTAATGGGGCAAGTATGTTTCTCATTGTGGTTCACCTTCATATTTTTCGTGGTCTATATCATGCGAGTTATAGCAGTCCTAGGGAATTTGTTCGGTGTCTCGGAGTTGTAATCTTCCTATTAATGATTGTGACAGCTTTTATAGGATACGTACCACCTTGGGGTCAGATGAGCTTTTGGGGGCTACAGTAATTACAAGCTTAGCTAGCGCCATACCCGTAGTAGGAGATACCATAGTGACTTGGCTTTGGGGTGGTTTCTCCGTGGACAATGCCACCTTAAATCGTTTTTTTAGTCTTCATCATTTACTCCCCTTTCTTTTAGTAGGCGCCAGTCTTCTTCATCTGGCCGCATTGCATCAATATGGATCAAATAATCCATTGGGTGTACATTCAGAGATGGATAAAATTGCTTCTTACCCTTATTTTTATGTAAAGGATCTAGTAGGTTGGGTAGCTTTTGCTATCTTTTCTTCCATTTTTATTTTTTATGCTCCTAATGTTTTGGGGCATCCCGACAATTATATACCTGCTAATCCGATGCCCACCCCGCCTCATATTGTACCGGAATGGTATTTCCTACCGATCCATGCCATTCTTCGTAGTATACCTGACAAAGCGGGAGGTGTAGCCGCAATAGCACCAGTTTTTATATGTCTGTTGGCTTTACCTTTTTTTAAAAGTATGTATGTACGTAGTTCAAGTTTTCGCCCGATTCACCAAGGAATATTTTGGTTGCTTTTGGCGGATCGCTTACTACTAGGTTGGATCGGATGTCAACCTGTGGAGGCACCATTTGTGACTATTGGACAAATTTCCCCTTTTGTTTTCTTCTTGTTCTTTGCCATAACGCCCATTCTGGGACGAGTTGGAAGAGGAATTCCTAATTCTTACACGGATGAGACTGCCTGAAAAGTGAGAAATTCTGACACCCATCATTTTCGAGTGAGTATTACACCAAGAATTGACAAGCCTTTAGTTGTACGTTTTCTATTTCTTACGTGACTTTGATGAAAGAAAGCATTCCGGGAACAGGAATAAGAGTAAAGGCCTTCCTTGTCATTGTAGTAGGCTTGTTTGCAAGAGAGAAGAAGCAGCTTCAACGATGCAATCAGACCTGTGAGAGTAAGCATGAGAAGCCAGTCTGTCTGCAATTGAGTTGCCTTGTCTATAGATGTGAGAAACCATCATGCCAGAAGACAATAAGCTGATGCATTCTCTGATCAAGTAAAGCACATGTCAAGGGGTGGATATAAGACCAAGGATGGAGTCCACCATAACTTTGGAATCAGATTCGATGTCATTCACTTGGATGCCCTTATCAGAACATAGTTTGAACCCATCTCTGAGAGCTCTAGTCTCAGCCATCATGTTAGTACCATTGTGATAGAATGAAGAGAAGGAAAAAATAAAAAATTTGACCTGAACTCTTTCTCAGGATACCACCACCTGCACTCTCTCCCATAGTAGCTGATCCATCTATGTTGAGTTTGGTACATTTTGGGGGAGGAGGATTTGATCCATATCCCGCTTTTATTTCCCTTCGGGCTCCTTATTCCGAGGCTGTTCTTTATCACGGCTCTTCTGAGGCTTTCCAACCAACCCTGTTGACTCGGAGTATTCAACCCCCCATTCGCCTAGCCATCAGATTCCTCCGCTGCCATCTTCGCTTTTGGCTCCTTGTCATTTGATCTGGGGGAATCAACCTCGAAGAAGGGAGCCTAGGAGCGTAGTTTGGCCTGTGTTCAAAATTAAATGCTCAAATTCCAGCTTCAAGCGTTCTGCAGCTCATAATCATATTATGGAAAAGGAGGCGTGGGAAAACGGCACCAATTCTGTCCAATAACATCAAAAACCTCATTTTTTAGTCCTTCGGCCTTCGCAAACAAACAGTCCGGCCAACCCAAGTAATCCCCCATAACATCAATCAGTACCGCAAAAGGCTAAAAATCTGACTAAGTCTCCAGCAGCTGCGGAGCGGGGGATAAAGGAACAGCAGGATTACAACATTGCACAGGATCAATCAGAATGCGGGAGCGCAGAGCCTTTAAGAGATAGGGGGTGCGGGAGCATAATACTTAATACTAAGGATTCCCCGCGGTTTTTCATGCAGATTTGACCACGGTGTGCACCCCCCTTAACTTAACCCCTATTACGTAAGGGGGACCTTCGGCGGGATAAAAGAGAGTGCGGGAAAAGCAGCTACAGATACAGGACAAAAGAAGGAGTGGCGCACTTAAAGAGTAAAAAAATCCATCGTAGCGCAAAAGAGCATCCCGCAGAAAGAGGATCCCGCGGAAAGTTTCCACTTTTCTGTCCAGCTGCAAAATGGAATGGAATAGTCTAAGATGCTTAATAGCTCCAACAAGCGCGAAAGCCGTTGCTTCTTGCTTTCGAGCCCAAGCCTACGTTTGCTTAGTAAGGTTGCTTCTTTTTATATCTCCTCAAAAAAATAAAGGCGAAAGGTTGCTTGCTTTACTTTGAGAAAGAAGTAGAAAGAAGGTATTATATAATAAATAAAAGTAAAAGCGCTAACGCGCTTTTTTTTTCAATAAGGGGCGGGAAGAAGCGAGCCTCTCAGAGAAAAAAGTGCTAGTTGTAGCGCGCTAGCGCGCATTTGACTAAAAACATGGAAAGTAAAGGCTCTGGGCAACGAGTGGGGGGAGCCTTGACTTGAAGCATTGTACAAGTGCTTAAGGCTCCTTCGGGCCATGGCCACAACTATCATATAAGGCAAGGCTTGGAAGCAAGCTACCTGCGCCTATCGGCGGGAACTGGGCTTGGCTTGGTTAGTAGTGCCCGCCCATTCTGTCTCGCCCGCCTGCCGACCCATGAATTCTTCAGAGCGGGCCGGCAGGCCGGGCGTACGGGAACCGTCGAAGAAGTGCCTCAACGCGCCGCAGCCACTACTTTACTTTGACTCCTTTTATGCAATTATGAACTCCACGTAACTTTCTCGATTCCAAGGCAACTTATCCTTTTTGAGCTGACGTAACAAACTACGCGATCCTCCCAACGAAGCCAACATAAATCCGATCCGAATAAAAAAAATAAAAGGCAGTTTCATTATGGTAGTATACCAGCCACCTGTTCTGGAACTGGAAGTTCCAATCGGAGCATATAGATCCGTAAATGGATTTGTATGTATAGCCACTTCAGTCGTGTTCGTCGTTTCTTGAAAGTATCTTTTTTCTGGGAACATGGTCAACCAGAAATTCTTATGTTCGCGATTCTTCATCCACCGATGCAGAAAATGCTCCAGTTTTCCATTCTCATATGAGGCCGGAAAGTTTATTGGCAACAGGTCGACACGAAGTGATTCATCATCCTCAAACATGAGCCGATCGTTAGTTAGGGACGGTTTATAGATCAGAAAATTCCCACAAATTGAATGAGAAGTGGGTCCATGTAAATAATCGAGACCTTGCAAACAACAACGCTCCTTCCCCATATGGAGTTCGGAACCCAAAGGCAATCGTTGAGTGAACTGTATCTTCTTTGTGTTAGTTAACCTAAGCCGCACCCTTACTGCTGGGGTGGGGCTCGGCCTCCGAACCGTACGTGGGACGAGTTTCTGCCTCATACAGCTCGGGCCGAAACCCGGGGGAAGTTTAGGAGAGATGGAGAGAGCCAGCAGCTGACAGTCGGGGCGGGGATAAGCTTCCTTCTTCACAAGCTTCTCCCTCCCAAAAAAACCGAACCGATAGCGCTTCCCGTTTTTTCTATTCCATCCCATTCCATTCCGGGACAGGCGGCTAATACTAATCTAATAAGTGAAGTAGTCGTCGTCTGACCAATCGGCTCGGACACCAGACCGCCCGTGCCCGCCCATTTTGTCTCGCCCTAAATGGAATCCCTTAGTTACGCTGCGCCCCGACCCGAGTCCCCACGTCCGATTTTCACCGCCCGAAACCCAAGAAGTTGGCTTTACCAACACAACATTAGGGTCGTCCCCTTCATTCTATACTGACCCCGGCCCGGGCTGGCTTTTTGGGAAGCCCATCCCCACCGTGCTCACGGCTCGGTTGGCCTGCCAGCGGTAGTGGGAATTATCCCGTTCCCTGGTCAAAGACTTGGTTGGATGCGGGATATCCTTTCTTGAGTAAGGTAAGGGGTACGGAAACGTCCTCTTATCACAGCTTGAACGGGGTTCATTGTTGGGAAGAAGACGAAGTCGATTCAATCCAACTCCAACCGGATAGAGATTGAGTCTAGAAAGAAATAAGAAAGAGATTATTCCCTAAGAGCTTGTCTAGTACCTTTTGTTTAGAGTCTTTCTACTTTCTGTCAGCTATAACCAAGTTGCTATTTCGGGGTTAAGGAAATGAATTGTAAGTCGCGTAATCCCCCTTCCTCCCTTTCGGGGTTAACGACTGCTACCTCCTGGGCTTAATCCTGATAGGAGTCGATGCCTTTCTGTCCCGAAAGGCTGAAAGCAAAAGGAGATTGCTTTCGATTCAGGATCAAGCCCAGGAGGTAGCAGTCGTTGGACATGTCCCTTCTTTAAAGTCAAGGTAGGAGAGTGAGATGACTTACTAGGACAGAGCGAGCCAAAGGGAATCAATAGTAGAGTAGACAGAAAGGAAAGATTATGACTCTTTCCGATAGAGAACCAAAGAGCAGACAGGAGCAAGCCAGAGATCTATTCCATATGATAAAGCTACCCATTGAGGGAGCTTAAACCGATGTCCCTATGTGCCAGCCGTTACCTTCCTTTCAGATAGGTACTTCCCTGCATACTATACTTATCTAATTCTAGTTTCAAGCCATAGGAATCTCGATTTCTTACTAAAGCTAGCGGCTTGACTTGGTGTGAAGTTTTCATAGCATGGGCATGGGGAAAGGACTCTTTGCATGAGTTGGCTGTTTTTCAAGAACTGGTTTGACATGAATCTCTGGAAGGGCTTTCTCTATCTCCTTAGGGTGTAGAACTCATCTCGGGAAACTAAAGAATGGGAAGAAGGTAGCTAGCAGCTTCCATAGCTGTCTGTGATAGGCCACAAGGTGAAGCAGAAGGGAATTCATGGACAAATGTAGCTGTTCGGGAGTCAATAGACTGTTCGGAAGTAACTGATCCCACATTAGCATTAGTAAGGGAAGAGAAAGACCTGATTGACCTAAGGCAAGAAAGTCTAGCCTAGCCTGAATCCAAAGTGCTCTTTTGCGTATAGTATAAATGGCCACTTTTTGTGCATCAGATCCGGGCAGCTAGGAAGGAAAAGTCTGAAGCCAATAGGTTTTTTTTTTCAAATGTGCACATGAAGAAGAAATGTTGGGGAGATTAAGTGCCTAGCCCTAGCCTTATATGGAGCAAATCAGACTGAAGTTGGCTCTGGGAACAGGAAGGAAGTGAGCACCCTGGCGGAGAAAAGAAATTAAACCTAAAACATAAATGGAAGCCTAAGCCTTCACATCCGAGAAAAATCATCAGTTTCCGTTGGATAATCTTTTTGACAGGGTTGGCATGGTTAAGGCAGAATATAAATATTTCACAACTAAATGAAGTTAGTCTTGGCTTCTTCTTCTTTTATGGGAGACAGGGGCAAGGAACCCACTCTTAGAGCAGGAAGCCCGTAACCATATTAGATTCGTAGCTCATTAAGGGAAATTCAATCAAGTCGGCTACCATAGAGTCAGGCCTTTTTCTGATCCTATCTCATCAAAGCCGGGTAACAAAAAGAAGGAAATTTCTAATGAAATGAAAGAAAGGCGAAGGAACAGAAATGGGCTCCTTCGGTTACCGTTCTATCCGTTCTAATCCTGACGGTTTTGAATGCTATTGACTTTACCGCTCCAGAATGAGAAGTGGTTTTTTTATTCCGGCCTGATAAAAGTGATCTTTGAAACAGAAATCGACTCAAAAGTAACAGAATAGGCTTGAGAGTAGCTCTTTCCAAATAGGTCGAGTAGCCAATGAAAAGGAGCTCTCTAGTTGGGATTTACACGCACAACCTTCTCCTATGAGTCATCCTATGTTATGCGCCTGCCTTTGAGAACCTTTCAGCTGGTTCACTTCGTCGGCATCATTGAACCTTGTTAGCATTTCTAAAAGAATTGGAGGCTCAAAACGAATGGTCAAAGGAATTGATGATTCGTTTTTAGTCTTCGATCTTTGCCTAGTCTTCGAACCAGCATTGTATGGAGGGGAACAAGCTAAGACATATAGCAAGACTAGAACTCCTATTGCATGTATCGATACCAGACCAGACAAACTAAAGCTAGCCCACTGCATAGTGAAAGTCTCTCTTAAGTTCGCATTAGCTTTCAGTGAAACTTTCGTCTATGTAAGAAAAGTCTGAACCTCCCTTACTTTGTGGGCGCACTGACCAAAGACCTACTACTTCTTAGCGCACGAGACTCACTTATGCCTTGCTTATTTTACCTTTGGGTAATATAAGCATATAGTATATTAGCTCTCTATAGATTCACTCTTTTTCTTAAAAGAAAGATAGAAGGGCAGCTACAGACTCCGTTCCTTATCGCATCGTTTGCTATCCTACCCTACTTCGCTAGCTAGACTATCGCAATTCATTTATACCAAAAGACCTGGCCATCGCCAACCAAGAGGGGGGGGGGGGATGAACCTACTTCCAGAGACTACTCACCTTGAACTCCGTCCCCTGAACATGACTGCTTATGCAACTATTGTGCTAGAAAAGTGGCAGGAGACCACATACCAAGAAAGAGGTATTACGCAAAAAGGGACATGCTATATTAGCTAATGTCTCTCAGCAGGATGCCCCACATGGAACCAATCGAAGGAGATGAGAAGGTATCGTAGATTGGGGTAGCAGTAGCTGGTCGTAGTTACTTTATATAAAAAATGGATTGAAGCATCATGAAATAATTAAATTCTAATAATGAAATAGAAGAAGAACGAATAAGATCGGATTTGCTAAATGAAGGTGTAGAAGTGGCTGTAGTCAAAAATAGTAAGGAGAATTCGCTTAGTCTTCCGGTTCAGAAGTCTATTTAGTTTCACAAAATGCTTATTAATGAGATGAGTTGCTAAACACAGTCAAGTCATACGACAAAGAAAAGTGTAGGTAGCAATTCGTCTACCGAATAGCAAGCAATCGCGTAAAGCAAGACGTGGGATATTTATAATGAATAAGGAAGTCTTCCCGTGTGCAAGACCCAGCTAAAGCCATCTTCCCTGGGGACTACGAAAACCTTCCATTTTGTGGTTTTGATCCTCTTTGCCATTCTTTCGTTTTTATGGTTATCCATCGGTCGTAGAAAGACTCTTTTTTCGACAGGTGACTCTACCTCTGCTGGGGTCAACCATCAAGGTGCTACCTACAGGCTTGTATGTGGGTGTAAAACTAGAATCCTCGGGGCTTGACTTTTTACAGGTTCTGCATGGAAACGATCGGGCTTAAATATTGATGCAATGTAGCCAGAACATCTAGTGCAGTGACTTGGTGTTTACTACCTTAAGGCATGCCTTGACTCCACTCGATGGGACTTGCTTTCATAAAGATTTTTTCTTATTGACTTTATTGACTTGCCTTTACTTTAGGGTATATCTTGTTTGTATAAGTAAAAGAGGATAAGACCACCGTTTTCCACATTTGCTGATGAAACAAGATAAAGAACGGGTTCTCCCTACTTGCATTGAGCGGGATGCTGCTTTCTTCTCTGTTTTTTAGATCAATTGACTTCCATTGACCCAGATAGGAGTTGTCTTCTTCGATAACGGGTTCTACATCCGGCATCCCTCTTGATTTCCAGGAGAATGTAGCCAATTTACTTAGTAAGCTGGGACCTGTCCAATTGCTAGTTTGGCTGGATTTGTTCGTTTCGAAATGCTAGGTTGACATAGAAGAATCCGAAAGAAGATGCATTGAAGAAATGTCAGGGCTGTCCCGCTAGTTGGATAGGCGACTTCTCAATCTTGGAAGAGCATCTTGCAAGGGTTAGAGGTTTTGAAGGATGAGCTGGTATGGAAGATAGAAAGCCACGTTTGTACTCGTGACTTAGTGGATCGAAACAACCAGTAGAGATTTCGGATCTTATTATACGTGACCCCGAGTCCCGATTCTGATCTTCTTTTCTGGTAACTACCGCTTCGATCAAGCGTTAAACTACTACTTATGGCTTCGGTCAAGAAAGGTATGGGCTATGGGTCGGTAGGATAATGCTAGGTCCATTCGGTCGATTGTCTCTACTCCCACCTATCCCGCTTGGGGTTATATGGATGAAGCTTGCTTTGGGTCCACCACCTGGAAGAGTATTGAGATTTCTTGCTTTAAAGTGGGGTTGTAGTTAATCGATTAGCTAGTAGGCTAAGGTCTAAGCACTAAGGGAACAAGGGGCTAGCCTCAAAACCCTAGCACTAAGCTAAGTGAATGACCAGCAGCTAATCGACTAAGTGGATTAGGATTGTTAGTGAGTGAAGCTTTGGGAAAGCTTACGAACGGGTATCCTTTGATTCCCTTTACAGTGGGAAGGAAGAAGCGTAGCGGGACGGGAGGAGTTAATACCGGTTAGCCCCTCGCTTTATGGCTTAGAAGAGTAGCTGGCATTGGCTCTTTTTAGGGACAGTCGACGGCGTAAATGCTTGGATAACTTTATTTAGGCCATGGCACTCTTTTCAATGGAAAGGATAGCTTTCGTCGTTTTTTGACTAAAGACATTCAATTCCGATCATTACTCCAGATTTCGTAATCCGACGTGAACTTGCACGACTGAGTTGCGTTGCGTTTGCCTAGCTGGGTGAAGGACGTAAAGGAAGAGGGCCGACAAGTTACTTATTTTTGATTCCCAGATGCATTGAAATAACAAATAAGCATAAGCAGTAAGTAGCGAGGATCACAGAGAGAAGGTGATTCACGGTGAAGTATTAATGGGAGACCAACTCCGGGTACTAGTAATAAACTTTCTTACACGTCTTATATCCGAAGCTCGAGTCAAAGTGGGAGGAATTTCTTTCTAGTTCGACGAGGGCCAGATATTTGTTATATCCATGTTTATCTTACTATACCACTTAATATTAGATATTCAAAGATGGTCACTCTATTCTTTTAGCTATTCACTCACTGCACACTAATAGAATCTGAACACTTTCAAAGTGTGGTGGATTTATAAAGGTAGGTTGGCTGTGCTTGGGTCTCCTTCTCTTGTGTGTGTCTTAACTATTATTGAAAGGACAGGATCAGTATGACCTCTGGCTCAAGGCCTTTAGGCTGAGCCCATTCATTCCATTCGATCGATCTGACCTATTAAGCGATAATAGCAGAGGAGGATTTTTTTGAATTGAATAAAGCAAGACTTTCCCTGAGTCGCCTATAGTAAGGAGCTCTGAAGCCCCTAGGAAAAAGCTTTGCCCAAGCTCGTCGCAGAAGCCATGACCTAGTTTATATTATAGGGTAGGCGGAAGCCCATAAGTCCCCATGTCCACGGTGCAGCGCCCGCAATGGTTGCTTTAAGAGCAGTTCTAATAGAGAAAGTAGGCGTGGAGGAATACCAAAGGTAGCTAAAGGCGTTGAAAAAGACCGACTCTCTTCTTCCGTAGCACTTCAAGCTTCTCTTCCGTCTACCGATCAGCGGTTTGCCATAAATAGCACTTTCTTTTTTAACTTCGGGTATAGATACTATCGAATTGCTATAGGCATGTGGGCTTTAAGAGCCTTGGGCTATAAATACTTAAGAAATGGAAGAACTTAGTGGAACCGTAGTAGAACCGATAGAAGAGCAAGAGAGAAGAGCTATTCATGAATAGATGACCAAAAAGGCCTTGTCACGAGCTGAAGTCGAACCAGCACCTCTGGGAAATGAAGACAATCCTAGCGAACTACCATTTCTTCTAATCGTGACTTTGTTTACCCGGTTCGTCATGCACAATCAAAGCAAAACTAAAATGACTACATCCGGTCGCGTTTCCGCTAAAACACTAGAATCCCAAAATGAGTTATTTAAAGATGTATGTGACATAGGCAGGGCCATCTTTTTTGAGCCTTTGTCTCAAGATATCTAAAACTTCATATCTTCTTGGTCCCTTTCTCCCACGTCCACTTCCAATTCCCTCCGGTCCAGTCGGTCGCGATGTTGGCCCAAGAAGTCATTAAACGCTTCTTGGGGGTTGTAAGGGGACTAGGCAGTCAAGGTAGGATTCTGGGTTAAGACTTTTTGAAAAAGTCGTAGACACTCATGTTTGAGTTCTCGGATCTGTAGATCCCTGTTCTCAAAATCGAGTAATCTTTGATACTTTTGCTGGAAGGGAGCTTGCCCCATCGCGAGTTTGATGTCGGACCAATATTCTCCCTTTTCCTTATCCAGCAGATAGGAGCTACTGTCCCCCTCGAGTCGTGCAATGCGATTTCGCATCGACGATTCCAAGCTACAATTGTGGGTAAGGGGGGGGGGGCGCTTCATCCACCATTGGGATCGCAGAACGAGTCGATGTGCCTTCCATTTCCGGTTCGGGCGAGGGCTCCATTAACACTTTGATCTCGAACGAATCCTCCGTCCAAGAGGAACCAGAATTGGAAGGGATTATTCCCCCACCCGACGGACTCATCATATAGATTTCGGCCCCACTAGCGAATAAAGCCCTCGCAGCAAAACCAATCAAAAAAATAATAAAACCAGAACACCCTACTTTAAGTAAGAGTAGTGAGAGAGATTGAACCCCAAAAGAAAGAGTAGCCTTAAAGAATAAGGCATGAACGAACTCCGATTGTCCGCACCGGACCCCAATAAAATACAATAAGACCCCTAATACTACAAGGAGAAATAAAGAAAGTAGAGTAGTTCTTACTCTTTTTTGCATTCCTTATTTCTTAAAACCTCGATCTTCAAAGAAAACTGACTCCTCCTACTCCTTCTTCTCCTTTAGGATAGGATCGTCGTTGGTCCTTCTTTCACTAATGATCTAATGATCTCACCATTTTCTAGTAGTTCTCGCTCCTAGCTCGCGGAGCGGCATACTAGGAAAGAATTCACCCTTTCGCTTGCGTGAGCAACGACCCCTAGCGCCCACAGCAAGCGCCTTTAGTGTTCCCGACCGCCTGCCTTTCGGCCTTAGCGTTCCAAACAACCAGTAGTGTGACCGATCTGTGTTCAAAACAACCGATGACGCTATCGACGACTTGTGGGGCCCCCTAACGCCGAACAAAAAAAGGACTAGTGCTATAACGACGAGTGGTGTGGTCCGAACAACCTAATATGGTAACGACAACTCGTAGTGGTCCTAACGACTAGCAACAACCACTACGGCAAGCGCCACAATGACGATAACGCTAGATCGTAATATATAGGCTTGCGAAGCAACCACTCCCTTGGTAACCTTGCTCCGCAACCATCGAGTCGGCCTTACCAAACCAAAGACAACTAGTGTTCCCAAAGACGGAAGAACGACATGCAACGGAACAAGATGGTAAAGCAACCACTCATTGTCGTTTAGTTGTCCGTCACTCGTAGTCTCTGCGTCATAGGTGGTTGTTCGGAAGGGTTTGACAATGTAACAGATAGCTAGGCAGTTACTACGCAACACACATTGGGGTGGTGCAACAATGGAACGACTAGTAGTCTACGACTAGTGGTGTTACGGAACAACTACCCGACGAGTGGTAATAACGACAACTATAGTAGGTTTGATAGTAGCGTTAGGACGACTGGTTCTTGTAGTTGTATTGCCCAAACGCAACGACTCAAACAACTACGAGTGCTCCCAAGACGATGAGACGCATGCGCTATACCGTCGAGTATTGCTTGCGAAGCAACCGCAACTCGTTGTAGGTCCTCTCCTTACATTACAGTCGAGTAGCTTTCACTCCTTCGCTTGCAATGTGCGGTTGGTTTACCTAACACATGGCTTCCCCAACACCAATAGTCGCATGAGTTCTCCTAGACCAGAACCCATGCCTTTGAACAAACCGCATGATGCGTTCCGGAGTTTCCGTAGTTCTGTTACCGCCTTGTCGTCTTGGGTTGGGAAGGATACGACAGGCTCAATTCAAGGACACTCAATTTCAAGCTCAATTTCAGGCTTTCGAAGCTCTGACACTTTCTGTCACATTTCTTCTCTCTTTTGTTTACCTATCATTTTCACTTTCTTTAACCGCACTTAGGTAGCTCTTCGTTCGTTCGGCAGAGGCGTAGAGCTATCTACTTGGTCGCGACTGGCTCTGCTATTCTAGGTTCTCCCTATGGCACTACACATCGTTCCCTTCGGTCGAGCGAATCCCATTGTTCCGGTCTGAGAATCCCTATGTCTGAGGTCGAGCAGCTACGCTCTCGTTGTTCGAGGTTAGATCCTCGTATGTTGCCACTCTCGTCACTGGGCATTCTCACTTTTTCCTTGTTATCTCAGGACACTCTGCCAGGTTGTTCCTTGTTGACCGGCCTTGTGATTCTCGTTATAGAATGTAGTGCCCAACAGTTTAAAGGAACGGGTGAAGTCTCGGGATCCGCTCTAGTCGAGTAAGAGATTTCCCCTGTAGAGTAGTCTCCGTATCAGTCCATGGGCTAAGGTGCAATTGCCTTCTTAGAGCCAGTAACTTCGTACTTTAAATTGGAGAAAAAAGAGTTCCAGAGGCATCTTCCATTCATCTCTATTTTGGTTTTTCTGCACCATATTTTGATCTCCCTTTTCTTCGATCCGGAATTCCCAACAAATCCTTGACTCCTCGAATACAATGGGATTTCACACCTGGCGAATCTTTCACTCTACCTCCTCTTATTAAGACTATAGAATGTTCCTGCGAATTATGAACTTCCCCCGGAATGTGAGCAAATATATCATGTTGATTGCTCAACCGTACTTTGGCTATCTTACGTGGAGCTGAATTCGGCTTTTTCGGTGTTCTCGTTGGTACACGCGGGCATACTCCTTGCTTCTAAGGACATTGATCCAAAGCTCGAGTACGGTCTGTGTGTCGTTTTTCTTCTCTACCATGACGAATCAAATGATTTAATGTAGGCATCGGTTGCTCTTTCTTTCTTTTGTCCTTCGCCCCGATTTTTCCCTTGTAATGTAACTAGTGTTTCCTCCCGATCCGAAGCACCCCTTTTCCATTCATAGAGAGATCCAATCATCAAAATCAATAAAAATGCCATCATGGACCAAGATCCAAAGGAATCAATCTTGTTGGGAGGTACTGCCCAAGGAAAGGAAAAGGTGACTTCCGGATCAGGGATAATAAATAAAATAGAAACAAGATAAAATCGTATATCAAAACGACTTCTGGCATCATCGAAAGGATCGAAACCACATTCGTAGGCTGACAATTTTTCTGGGTAGGTCGAACTATTGGAAGCAAATGGAAAAGGAACACCGAGTGGGATCAAAGAAACTAGCAGACTGATCACTAAATAGATAAAAATAGGCGTAAATTCTGACATCACCACAGCCCACTTTGTTTTCTCGCTCCTTGCTTGCGGAGCGGCATACCGAAAAAAAGATAGGATTTGAATCGATGACTTAAGCCCTTGCGCTATTCCCCATGATCGCATCGTAGATAGCAGTCAGAGTCAGTACGCTTTCTATTCTCTTTATATTATATATGAAAATAGATAAGAAAGGAGGGCTGTTGAGGCCCGGAACTTCTCCGAGAGGTTCCTTTCGATACTCTACGCACATCGGTAAAGGCCTTACTCTATTCCTTGTCAGGAATAGCGGCCTTAGTCTACTACTATCGGCTATCTCACTCTCGGGAAATCGGGGGTTTTGTCGGGGAATCGGTGTCGTGGTGGTGCTACGAGATGGCGATTTATCGTATAGAAGAATGGATCCGCAGACCTATTGATTGACCATAGATGCGAACCGATCGATCGCTACCTAAGAGAAGATAAGTAGTTCTTCTATCGTTCAAGGGGAAAGGGAGAACATGTAGCGGCTTGCCTAGATCTCGTATTTCCCACGTAGTCCGTCGGTCAAACCAACGATTCTCCTCTCAAAGTAATAGAGAGATCGTTTTCTTTTTCCAGTATGTAGCTCCGCGAGCAAGGAGCGCATCATCAGAGCAGGGTGAAAACGAACATAGGATCATGGCCCTTTTCTTCTTTCTTTTGCTGCTGATCTCACATCGAGAGCAGCTCCTTCGTGTTCAGGATGATCGGATGAGAGATCTTCCTCCGACTCCGAGAAATCGGTCAAGCGGGAGGCTACCCTCGACTTACCTCTCTCTATAAAAACCCCCTCCCCAGAGGAGAGCATAAGCTCCAGGATGAGTATGTCCTGGATTACCGGATTCATTCTCGTCCTGATCCACCATGCTATTTTTTTCGAAATAAAAAAAGATTCTAGGAGAGGGCTCATAATGATCTTATCAAAGATCACAAGGTGCTGAAGTGGCCGGATAGGGGGTGTAACGCCCGCAGATCCGAGTTAGTCAATTTAGAGGTAATAGGGGTCGAAAATGACTTTTCGACAAAAGATTATTTAGAATAAATAATCTTAACCAAGTTGTAGAATATGTTGCAAGGTTTCCGTACATATAAATAACGTCGAAATCCGAGTTATAACGAAGAAGTTATGGCCCGTCGAAGTTTTACGGCAAAACCGGCACGGCACCGAGAAGCGTAAAAAGTGAATTTACGATAGAGCGAGATTTAGCCTTAGCGCTCTAAACGAAAGTCGTAGAATATGTTAAACTAAGAACATCGATAAAAAGAACGCCCAAATCTGACTTCGTATGAGGAAGTTATGATTTTTTCTAAGATTTAGCATAGTAGTGCACAGCCCGAAATCTGAATTTTAGATCGGTCGATTTTTAGCCGACGGGATCTAAATGAATGTTGTAGCACTCGTAAATACCAACGCGTAGATATAAATAATGTCGATAATAGAGCTCGTATGCGAAAGATATGGACGAAGCTTAGTCCATACTTTTCGAGCGCGGCGAATTCGATACAGTTTTGTAAATCCGAGATAAAATGAGAATTAGCCAACGAGGTCTAAATGAGAGTTGAAGATCTCATTAATAGGATCTCAACGGTAAAAAGACAGACAAAAATGGAGCTCGTATGCAAAAGTTACGGACGAAGCTTAGAGGCTACTTTACTATAAAACTCCTATAAATACAAGGGTGAACTCCTCATATTTTCTTCACACCATAAGCCTCTCTTTCTCTCTCTAACTTCTCTCTAGCCTCCCTAAACCCCTCCCAAGTCTACGGAACCTCCCTAGCACGAGTAGAAAGCCCCGGAGCGCCCGACGGCTCCGAGAAGAAAAGCTTTCGGCTTGGAAACGCTGCTCCAGCGAAGCCCAGTTTTTAATAAAAACTCGCTGTAAGTGAGCTACGCCTATACTATATTTAATATAGATTTTATTTAATTATAGTAACATTATTAGGACCTTAAAATAATTATTTGGGCTATTATTATGAGTTATATTGAGTGTTATTTAACGCTTATATAATAGTAATAATAGATAGACTATTAATTAGTCGTGGTTAACGTTAAAAACTAAACCCTAGTGGTATTGATACTAGGTTTTGTCGAGGAAAATTGTTTTGAGATAACGAAGTGCTGTCTGAGTTCGGAATCACCACCTAATCAGGTGAGTGCATGGTCCCTTTCATCTTACACATAGATATGAAGTATTTATTATATAATTTACGTGTTGTGAGTGCATAGTCCCTTTCATCTTACACATAGATGTGAAGTATTTAATATAAACTACGTGCTATGTGTGCATATTATCTGAATACTTGTTGTCTATGTTGGATGAACGTTTTATACATGTTTTAAAGGATTTAAACTGTATACGTATTTTATATATACGAATATGTGGGGTATGATGATGGGTAGATAGATGTGAGAGATAGAAGATGACATGAGTATACATTGGCAGCTATAGACTTAGTGCCTATGGGACAAACACCGGTAGCTATGGACTTAGTACATGTCAGACGTTGGTAGCTATGGATTTAGTACCTGTTAGAAATTGGTAGCTATGGACTTAGTACCTATTAGTTAGACACTGGTAGCTATGGATTTAGTACCTGTAGGAATTGATAGCTATGGACTTAGTACCTGTTGAACGCTGGTAGCTATGGATTTAGTACCCGATGAGTAGGATATAGCAGCTATGGAATTAGTGCTTTACGAACTAACATCGGCAGCTATGGATTTAGTGCCAGTCCTATAACCCTGGAAGTAAGGGACTTCAGAATAAACGAATGAAGGATAGATGACTCTTAGGATAAATCCTTAAAGAGTAAAGAAGATAATGGGGATGGGTAATTGGGTTGATTGTTTGATTAAACATAATAATTATATTATTGTGGGTTGAAAACCCTATGTACTCACCAGGTTTCCCAACCTGACCCACTCAGTTTATGTATACCACAGGTGACGAAATGAAGTGACATTACACTGAGAGATTTAAAGAGATGTAGATCACTAGTGTAAATAAATGTAAGTTCTGTTTATGCTTATGTTTCTGTATTAACGATGACATCCCAAACGTTTTAAGATGAATAAAAATACGTTTCTTCGAAAATGTTTTAATAACGTATTTATCGTGTTTTTCTGGGAACAAATTCCGCAACCTTTTTATAAAATGAAGTACTCTGATTTTTATAAAGCATAAACAAAATCGGTATTTTCTGGCCGTGATTTTGGGGATGTCACAGGGGGGGGTCTGTAGGTTTTTGTGAAAGGGATGCTCTTATCATGTTATTGCTGAAAATAAAAAGCGAATTCCTCTATTTGATGTCGATTCACCCACACTTCCATTCCTTGTAGAGGAAGGCTAACTGCTTGCTGGCTGGGAGCTGTATGAGCGGTAACGTCCACGTACGGCTCTGTGAGAAGGGCGGTGGACAGAAATGGCCTTGTTGTACCTCACTCTCGTCTTCAATGGGGTCTGCTCTTTCTTTTTTGGGAGTGTACGCCAATATGATCTTAATGAGGTGTGGGGCTTTGCATCTGACATTCGTTGGGCTTCCCTCTTTGGGAGCTTGCATCCCGGCGTTTTTGTGCAATAAACCCCTCCGGCTGAAGACTAGTGGTAGGTGGTCTCGCAGAGCTTTCGGAAAAGGGTAGCCTAGTGTGTAAGCACAACAGTGAACCGCGGCGAACCCCCAGACGACCTATCTAAGATTAGGGGGGAGATCCTCAATAGTGATGACCCTTTCACTCTTCCACGGACTGATACATGTACCGAATGCTCATACGGGAAAGTTGACGCCTGGGTCTGGAACCTGAGGGGTTGCTCCGAGAAATCCTTTCTTTCTCGTCCACTCAGGGGGTGCGGACACACCTGCGCGGATTATAGGTGACAGTTA